CCCGTGGTGCTGCCCAAAGCGACAAGGTTGTGTTATCTATCGGCCATCACCTCCCCCCTCGCCGGATAACCCGGGTTATCTTCGAGAGATAAAAACGATCCCCGATGGGTTTGAGCGTGTGCTGTTCTTTCACCACCCGAGGGAGCTCCATCTCGTGCCTCGCGGCACGGTGGCGGCGGATCACGACGGCTCCCTCGACGCGATCCCGGCCACCTCGGGGCCCAGGAGGGACGAGGAGCCGGCTCGCGCCAGAAGGCCGCTGCCCTGGGGCGACGGGCTCGAGGCAGCTTCCAGGGACAACGCCGCGACAGAGGTCAGGACACGCCAGAGGTCGAGGGAAGGAACACGGGGACCATGACCAGGATGTCGCGACATTTCGTCGATGCCGATCTTGGTCGTGGTCCATGTCGGCCGTCGCCGATTCGCGAGGGTGATCCGCGAAGTGGCGCTGACCGAAATGGACCGTGGCCAAGATCGGCACGACGTTTCCGCGTTCAGTCTTGGTCATGGTCCCCGATTTCTTCCCCCTCCATGGAGGGCCTGCGCCTTCTCTCCCAGCCGACTTGAAGTGGATCGAGCTAGGCAGATCGAGGCAGATCTGGGCACGTCGAGGGAAGTCCAGAGATCTCCACGAGATAGCAAATCCAGACCACAGCTGCTGGCGTCAGGGTGCTTCTGCCCTCGACGCCCTTGGCCTCCGGCCAGAGGCCGAACAAGTACAGTCGGGCCGAGGTATAAGATCGAGGTCGGTTCGGGGAGGGCACCCCAACGTTCTTCGTGTTTGCTAGATGCTTTTTGTGCATCCTGGGAGAGGGTACCCTCGAATGTTCTTCGGTGTGGCCGGCGGGAGGGCTTCATGTTCTTGCAGGATGTTCTTCTGTCGTAGGTCCAGTTGCAGCTGGTGGTGAAGAAGGTACCCCCCAGAAATCGTCGGAGGCCACTTCCGGCCAGAGTCAAAAGTTGTGGGACCCTCCGCAATCAGATTAAGACACCAAGCAGCCTGACCAACTCATTTCGGAGTCCAGCGAGGAGAGTCAGCATCGTTTAAGAGATCCCTATCCCCATCCCCATCCCCATCCAGACCCCCACCATCTCAGTACCCCAGTTGGGGATATATGGTCGAGGGTTTGGCTCCCCCCCCCAAATGCTAATGCCATTGGGCCCCTCCCCCCCCCGCGCGATGCGCCCCCCCCCCCCCCCTGTGGGCGTGGGCGTGGCGTGGTGGCTCCCCCCCCCCTTGTGGATGTGGTGTGGGTGTGGTGTGTTGCTGTGGGTGTGTGCGGGGTGACGCCATGGTCCTCCCCCCTTCCCTCCCCTCTGTGGGTGCGGTGTCGGTGCGGCGTGTGGCTGGGATTGGCGTCATGTTGACAGCTCCGGTGCTCGACGTCGTCGCCGCCGCCGCTGGTGGTGCCGTCGACGTCGTCGTCGTCGTCGTCGTCGTCGTCGTCGTTGTCGTCATCGTTGTCGTCGTCGTCGTCGTCGTCGTCGTCGTCGTCGTCGTCGTCGTCGTCATTGCCGTCGTCGTCGTCCTCCTCCTCCTCCTCCTCCTCCTCCTCCTCCTCCTCCTCCTCCTCCTCCTCCTCCTCCCTCCTCCTCCTCCTCCTCCTCCTCCTCCTCCTCCTCCCCCCCCCATCCCATCTGGGGGGGGGGGCCCGAGGACTCTGGGACCCATCCCATCTTGGGAGGGGGGGGCCCGAGGACCCTGAGCCCGCGATCATATACCCCTCAAAACCTGAACGGAACGGCCTATATCCCCATCTAAGGGGGTAAATCGGCCAGTGGGGCCCAGGCCACGCCGTTGGGGATAGGGGTCGGATACTCCGAATTTCAAAAGCAAAGGGGCGGCGTCTGATTTTTTGGGGGTCTGACTTGAGCTGTCTTGGAGGGTTCCGGGGGATCTGGGCAAAAGGCCGCCCTTCCATGGCTGGTCTCGGGGGGGTCTAAGTTTGCCCGTCTGAGAGGGTTGTTACTCCCTCCCTTCTGTTACGAAGTGCGAGGTTAACGATGCTCAGAGAGGGAGGGGGGGGGTGGTTGGACGAGGCCGTCTCCGCGGCCTCTCCGGATTCCTCCCTCCGCCGGGGGCGGCGGCCGGGCGGCGGGTACGAAAGCTCTGGAGCAGGTCGTGGGCGTTCCAGCTCTGGAGCAGGTCGTGGAGCTCGGTCGGCCCATGCAGTTGGCACGAGGGTCAAGGACAACTCCGGTTTCGGAGGGCCACCCCCGCTCTTGGTACCCTCCTGGCCTTCCACCTCGGAGCGCCCTTCGCTTGTGTGGTGTGTCCCTGGAGCATTGGGCGCTCGGCGCAGGGGGCTCCTGCTCCTGACCAGCGCTCGCTTGTGGCCGTGCCTCGACCGAGCTTGGGGCTCCCTACTGTTTGCAGCACATGTGGTTTCTTCGGTCAGGCCCAGCTCAGGGGCCCCCGGGGGAACCGTGCAAGCTTCCCGTGTCTAAGGCCAGGCGCGAATACCTTGACAGGATACGCCGCCGCGGCCTGCTTCCGCGG